CTTCAGGGATGACCTTAGATATGCCAATATTTTACATTTACCTCCCAATTACAATTAAAAATATTACACTACCTTTTTCCTCTTCAGCAATGTCTTGTGCAAGGAAAGTCTGATTCAAATGGCCAAGAAGATTCAAAATTCTTAGCTATCAGTAAACGAAAGACCATAGCTACACCAAAGAAACCCACATGAATACACGTTTCTTTTATTGATCTATATTCTATTACAGTTCTCTTTGGAACAAACAGGAAATCCTTTAACCAGCCCAACTGGAGACTAACAAGATCTGAGCCAAACAAGATAACATCCTTGCTGCTAACTTGCTGGCAGTTATATATTGAAGAATCACAAAGCACCCGCCTGGAGTTCCTTAACAATATGTCTATCTTTTATTAAACAAAGAAAGAATATTCCAAACAATTAAGACAGGAAAACAGGCAGCCTTACCACCTTCCAGAAGCTGCTCTTCTCTAGTAGCTCAGAAGTCACTGTCTTCACACAAAGCCAGAGCCATTAATTAAATAAACCCATTTGCAAATCAGCACAAGTATCACCCTTTACTGCTGCCTGGAACTTCTAGCCAACAAGACAACATCAGGTCACATGGACTCCAGTTTAGTCCAAGTGTAAGTCATTGATTTCAATGGGAACCGGATCAGATCCTTACTCCTGAAGACAGGAGTTCAATTACACTCACTCTCTGAGATCTGAACTGATTGCCAGTTTACCAAAAAATAGTCTGAGGTTTTACTACTTGTCAGTAGTGCCCTTCATAATCCGGACCCTACTTATTAGAGTCATTTCCTATCCATACTCCTATTTAGCTTTGATCTCTCGATCCCTTAAGTCAGCCTGGAAGAGAATGAGGGCAGTGTTTTCACATTCTAGGGTTCTCAGCTGTTGAACTCTCTAACAAAAGAGGTCTGCAAGGGTATGTCTACACTGCAATCAAACACAAAAGGCTGGCCCTGTCATCTGATTCCGGCTCATGGGGCTTGGACTGGGGAGCTAGAAAGTTGTAAATATCTGGGATTGGGCTGGAATCCGGGCTCTGGGACTCTCCCCCTTGTCCGATCCCACGCTCCAGCCCAAGCCTGGATGTACCTCACAGAAGCCAGGATGTTCTTTGGAAGGATTCTCCTTGACTGTTTTCTTTGTTGTCACTTTTCTTTTTTGCATCTGTTAACCCCTCCTCTTTACTATTTTTGGTGTTAGCTTAGGAATCATTCCCTCTTGTCTATTGGGGTAGCTTGCATGGTTTATTGGGTTGTGCAGATCATTTTGTTCTGGTTTGTGAACTGTCCAGCACTGTCCCAACTGGATATTGAAGTATATTTTTAATGCTTTGTATTGATTTAATCATATGACACTCAGGATTATTAATGCATTTTAAATACGGTAAAAAAAATTGTGAGTGGACACACACATACAGGCTGAGATTTTCAAAGCCATCTAGAGGATAGGAATGCCCACTTTTCATTGATTTTAATGGGAAATGGATATCGAAATGTCCACACCCTGAACAAACATAGGCATTCTACAGGCAGATTGGATACATGTGAATTGGTTCGTTTTTTTGTGAAGATACAGTGGTGGAAAATCAATCTTATAATGTCAGTGTCAGCCTTAAATAGGGAGGGACTAGCACCCCTTCAGAATAAGCATGAAGGCACATACGTGCCCTAAACAAATATCAAAAAGGCTAAAAAAAAATCAGTTGCTTAGTAAAAACACATATTTAACTAAAGGTCAAGAAGAACTGGCCATCTTGGGGATATTTTAAAGTCCCCTCTTGGAGGCAGGAGTGCTTAGTGGGGATTTCATTCTATATTCAATATATTTATTTATCTACTCTCCAGTCAGAGCAGATGATAAAAAGCACATACGAGTGGAATATTGAGAGAGCTAGGACTCTCTCTTTTGTTTAGGTACCTCAGTTGTTGCATCATTGTTCACAGCAGCTACAGGGACTGTTTGAACTTCCTGACTGTTCATCACACATAATTTGGAGCATTTAACATTATGTCAAGAAAATTGCCCACTGCTTTCCTCCTGTGGAAACTTATGGGAGCTCTATATCTTTAAACTAATTTTACTTAAAATATTCCATTGAATAGCATGACTGTCTCACTATAATGGGTGCAGCAGTAATGTAATTAATCTCAAAATTGCTGTGGGGAGTACAAGGCATCTCAGTTGCTTGTCGTAACAATCTAAATTAGTGTATTACTGAAAGATGTTGGGGAGGAACGGTTCATTATAGGTAAATGCTGTCAGGGTATCCATTCTTTCTATTTCTAAAGCTGAAAATAAGACTATCATCATAGTTCTTCTTTTGAAATCCAAATGAACATGTTTTGAGGTGGGAAAGTATAATTAAATTTGATGTGGTATTTCTACAGATGTAGCTTTGCATTTTATAATAATTAAATTTGTTTGAATAAAAATTCATGTTTTATTTAGAAAAGAAAAACTGGTTTGGCTCAAAGCATGCCATTGTATCAGAACAATTCTCTTTTGTCACTGAAACTTCACAGACGGCTGCTTCTTTTCACAAGAAAAAAATATTCTTGCTATTTTACAGTTTTACAGGGGACAGATCCTGAAGTTGTGAACAAGTGAAAGTTGGGTTGGGCATGCAAATTCTCTAGTGTACCATACATCTGTGATGGAAGTTTTGAAGAATAAATGTAAGTGTGATACTACTAATAATAATTAAGAAGAAGAAATTGCAAAGAACCATTGGAGTAGAAGATTGGAATACGATATTCAATGTTGCTTCACCCATTCCCCTCAGAAACTAAATCAAACATCAGATAAAATGAAAAACATTCCACTAATCTAAAGATTTTGAAAGGTGACAAAAGAAGTAAATCAAAGGCAATTTGACCTAGCAATTCCCTAGCGTGCAACAAGACAAGAATGGTAAATGTCTTCAGTTTGCTGCTGGTCTGAAAGCATCAGCAAAGTACAATTTCTCTTTCAAATGAACAGATTAACTTTATATCTGTAGATATTAGAAAGGGAGTTGATTCTTCTTGCAGAAGAGTTCATACAGCTCCTTCTGCTCAATAAATACTCTTCACAACATTAGAACCACAAGAGAGCATGTTCGTAACGTGGTAGAAAGAGAGTGAGATACTTCAGTTAGAAGCTGCATTTTTACCTTAATAATCTGAAGCAAAACATGGAACAATCTAGAGAGATTATCACCTAATCTGCCCTTTTAACATATATAAGAAATTGAGATGTAAGTAAAACAAGCACTGAATAATTAAAGAAATACATAACACTAAGGGCTTGATTTTAATTTGCATAATTTTTTCCCTTAATAGTGCCTAATTAAGACATCAGTTTGAAAAAAAATCTAATAGAACTCTAAGATTTTCCACACTGAATTAACGTTTAGGACTTTTAATGGATGTCTTAATTAGACTTTGTTATTCATGGAAATTTTACACAAATTAAAATCAAGTCCTGTGTGCACTGTTCCCAGCTGAGTTTCAGCAAAAATGCTATATGGAACTGAGAGACTTTTAATCCATGCACTGACAACACTTTGTAGTCTAAAGCTGACATACTCCAATTCCACTGTTTGATTTAAATAGCATTAATATTATAACCAATAAAAATCACACTATTTTCACTTTTCCTTCCAAAGTAAGTTGCAAATGTATACATCAACATATTTTTTTAAAATATGAAAAAAACTCTGCAGCTGGATCCAACTGTTAGCCAGTGGGGCCCAATAACCAGAATGACTTTTTGAACAGCTTAGAGGGGAGCCTTATCTGTTATTCAATATACAAACTTTGATTCAGTCCGAAGTTCTATCGCTGCAGTGCCTGAAACGCATGCTGAAAGACCTTTCTTCAATCAGTTGTGCTAAACATATTTATCAGAACAATTTCTTCATGTTCATCTCAGTTGATAAAGTCAGTCTTTTAAGAATTTTTGGGGGGGCATGGGGAGATGCTTTGAGTGGATACACTGTCATTTCAGCAATTTTGTGACAAACTATGCTCCTGAATCTCTCTCAAAACATATTATAATGTGAGCTTCAACACGGGTCTTCACAGGAGCATTTTAGACAAGGCAGCAAAATCAGAAACCAGACCAAGCAGTGAAGATTACATTACACCGACATTGGAAATATTCCAAGTATTGACAGACCAGGATTCAGTTGCAGTTCGTCTTATAGCAGAGATCACATGTTAATGCTATGTGCTGATTCTATCGTGAAAAACGCTCTTGCATAAAGTCCTTTACAAATTATTCCTCTAATGAAAACCACATTAACTTTGCACGTGAGAAACAAGTTTGATTCAATATAGCTGCCAGAAAGCACAACTGCTGTTGCATGCTCTTTACAAAAGGAAAAAACAAATCTCTGGTTCTATGTGACACTCATTACTGAAGTGTTTTCACATCTGTGCAAAGAACTGTTAAATATCTATGAAACCTTGGAAGTATTACCCTGCCAGAGTTTATCTTAATAGTTTGTCTATAAATATACTTGTATGTTCAGTTTGTGTGCATGGTGTTTACATTAACACATTCCTTGCTCCTCCCTGAAGCAAGCAATTCATCTGTGTTTTACCACCTAAAGCAGAGGTGTGAATTACTGTAATTTTTCTCCTAGTGTCACACTCCTTTGAGCTATCTACCAATCCTGCAGCCCTGCTGCACACAGAACTCCCACAGAAGAGTTCTGTGTGCAAGAGGACTGTGGGATTAGGCTATACTCTGTTTGTGCTACTGGATCGTTCAGTATCTCTCTTATGCTCCACAAAGCAACAGTGAGTGGATAAAACTAATCTGCTCCAACACTCAACCCTCATCATCCAACCATGTTTAACTGAAATACTTGCTGAATCGCTTATGTTCAATATCCCAGCGTGCTATGGTAACTGGACTAGTGAGATGTGATCAGCGCTAAGCACTCAAGAGGGTACACATTCTTCATAGGCTTTCTTTCAGTTTGTTTATTTTTACAGTACCTGGCTCGTCTGTGGACTGGACGGGTCATAAGAAGGTACATAATTCTTCAGAGTATCCTGAGGATTCAGATGGGGAGGATATCTGATCGTTGGATGAGAGAAGTAGCTAGACGGGGCAGGAGGGAGAATAGCTTGTGCTGGAAATGGCAATGGCGAAGGTGGGGGGGGAGTTCTGGTTGAGATGACTGGAGAAGATAAAATAAAATGAAAATTATTTAGTATCTTTTCCTGTTTCTTGCATAACTTTTTGCCTGTGTATCACAGAGAGAAAATAAAAGTTAGTCGTGAATTGGCATGATGTATTTCTTATCTACAATATCCTTAAATCCAACCTCTCATTCCCTCCCCCTTCCCTGCAGTGCCCCAGGGAATGGATAAGTGCTGTTATTCCAAATCCATATATGCCACATTTTGTTTAGTTTTTTTCTGGATTACATCATCATTAGATTTAACTTTTCTTTAAATGCAACAATGATTTCCCAGCAGGAAACATATTTCAGTTATAAAGTCTTCGTCTCAAGAGCCCAGATGAATCAAACAAATACGTAAATAAATAAGTAAAACCCACATTTTTTTCCACAGCAATTCAACAAAGAAGAACAAAGTCACTGAGTTCTTAGAGACAGCCAGTGATTCCTCACTGCATTGTACTGTACCTGTCTCATGTGGGGACGGGGGCAATAATTACTAGGCAATAATGCCATGAATAATTAGCTGACCATTGTGAAAATGCTAATGAATGTTCAACTTCAGGGCCTGGGAAACCATTCCACCCAATGAAAATATCTCTGGCAAACAAAAAAGGATCTATCCTATACATATTTTCTTTCCATTATCTTTCTTCCCAGCCCCCACAAACACACACTTCTCTATCTATAGACTACAAGTAATGTCTAAACTACCAGCAATGTTTTCACAATGAAAGGAATGTACAGAATGTCCTGTTACAGCCGAGGCGTCAAGCCAGAAGTGGAGATTGTTACATTATTACAATATATAAAAATCACATTCCACTCTTTATTACACATCCAGAGGACACTTATTTTGTGCCTTATTAAAAGGAAAAGTCTGACTATGGTGGAAATGGGAGAAAAGAGGTATGCCTCTATTTTAGTTAGGAAGGACGGTGTTTCTGTCCAAGATATTTTATAAACTGCTTACCACCTTGGTACTTAAGGTCTATCTCTCCCTCTGTACAATGAATTCTGATTCTAAACTGTAGCAGCACCAGCACTGCATTGGCAATAGCTTTACACGTCTCCTCTCCTATCTTTTACTCTTTACTTTTTAAAAATACATTTTATTTTAAACTTGTTGAGCTGGGGATTAATAAAAGTGAACTATATAATAAAAAGGCAGCAGGATGTTGTTGTGGATGCTTACAAGTCCCAAAGCACATCACACAGAGACATAGTATCTAATTTTCAAATACTGTTGGCCACATAGGATGCCCGAATCTGGTATCTGACTGTCCTATTTAAATGCCCAAATTTGAAAATTAGGCTTAGGCTCATCAGCCTTAACTCTAATTATCTTTCATTTCTCAGCTGAAGTCAGAACCGAGGTTTGCTATCTACCTAGTGATACTATACACAAACAATCACACCCACGATTGTGTGTCTGTTCTATGTACTAGAGATTTATAAAAGCAATTAAGTCTGAATGATAGCAAAGGGGTCAATATTTGAAAAGAACTTCCAGATGCAGTTCTCAAAATAAGTTGGGAATCACAACTACCAGTGTTGCATGTGAATGCTGGGGGATCTATGCTCTTTCAGGTCTCCCCTAAACAGTTCCTAGATCTCCCTGACTTTTGTCTTTCTCCTTGGGAACAGTGGCTGGTGGGTCTGCTCCACCATCTGATGTCTTCACAGGCCAGTGTATCCCCCATTCCTCTTCTTCCAATGCTCCTCTCTCCTTATGCTGGTTTCCTCCTATTTCCTTCTCCCCTTTCCATCTGTTAATCATCACTGTTTCTTCTCTCCAGGGCCATTTCCTTCATTTCCCATTGAAGCTATTGAGCGTGGAATGGGGCCAAATAAGGTAGCCAATGTCTGTGACAACTTCTATACAGGCTCTGCTACAATAAGAGATGCAGACAAGTTTGCAGTGGAGCAGCCAGCAAGGAAAGGCAAAAGTGAGAGCTGATTGAGAGGCAGTCTCTGTAGCTAGCCGCTTCCACAGCTGTGGTGTCAGGAAAAAACTGCAGTCCCAGGGACTCCAGGACTGAGAGCAGAAATTTGGGACAGTTCTGTTCAAATCAAGACTGTTGGAAAGTAAGTAGTAAATTTACAGAATTACTATGTTGGTTGTTATTTTATATTGTCACTTAATATATTAATCTAAAAAGTGACATATTAAAAAAAATATAAGGTTTTGATTAAACTATGGGTATGGTCAGAAAAATAACTATGGCAGCTTCTCTCTCAAGAAATTTACTTCAGAATCAGAGTCATATCTTTTCACTTTAATAACAAAGGTAAGTTACTAGTTTTTTATACTTGTTAGGCCTGCAGAACCAACTCAGCTACAAGAGAGTCTCTTCTGGCTCATGCATCATATACAGTATTATTAATTAATTTCTGATTATAGAATCCTTCCACAAATCAGAAAGAGCTGAAATTGACTTCAGATCCCAGAGTGGGTTTGCTGGGCTGGATGTTAGAAAAAAATAATGTCTCTTCACTTGTAAACTGAATAAATATGAACATGAAGTCATTGAGATGGGGGGGAGGACCATGAAAGAATAACTTTTGAGAGAAGAACTGCATTTTAAATCTATAAAAGCAAAAATATTCAAGTCTGATTTAACACTCCTTACTCCACCCTATTGTATTAAAGGAATATTATATAGTACATGATGTTAGACAACCCACCAATGAAAGAACACCGCAGTGCCAAAACTTAAAGTAGGGAGTTAAGAATAGAGGATCCTACAAAATCCATGCTAGGAATGCCCACACTATATACTTAACAAGCCATTACAGCTCAAGGGCCATAGTTTCCCCTTAATTCATGCATGCAACTCACATTAAGGTCAAAGGGAGGTCCACTGTGGATCTACAGAAGTATATGGTGAAAAAAGGTTTTACAGATAGTGGCTCACTCGCTCTATCTACCTATCTATCTACCCCAAAAGAGGCATCAGTATCTAATTCATTTTTTAATGTGAGTGTTCAACGTTGTTTTCTAATTTTGAGGCTTCCATTATGTATGGCATTTCATGAAATCCTATTAAGGCATGTGAATATAATATGCTAGTTAGCAAAAAATGGGGGAGGGCTTATTTTGTCCTGTGAGTTCCTTCATTTAGGTTACATATATTTTCATTCACAGGTTGGTTTTAGCTTGACCATTTCACGCCATTCTGAAGGGCTACCTGAGCTGTCTTTAATGAAGATTCCTCCAAGGATACCCCAAACTCAGCAACATACTCAATTCTCTTTTCATTTGTAATATACATGGGAGTAGGTCCATAACAATGACTTCAGCAAATACATCATAATCAGAGGGTGGGAAAGGAGCAGAAACCAGATAAATATGGAGGGTTTTCTTCCTCCTTCATATGCCCTCACCACTGTGTGCAACTCCTGGGATTCCTGGATGGTGATGCTGGGGGAAAGTGCTCAGTCTCGGTGAAGAATCCTGAGGAGATGTGGGACTAAACAAAGGCTTCTCAGGCTTCTTCATTGTAGGAGAAGACATATCTGCAAAGGAAATATAAGAAAACAGGAATGTTAAATTAGAGGCCTCTTATTCCATTGCACGACACGGCATTTTGTAAATCATATACTTTTTATGTTTATGCTACTTTTGTAAGTCCTATTCAGTTATCCTGCTCCACTGTGACTGATTTAAAATGATTGGTTTCCAGCATAGGCATGAACAACAGTTCACTGGTCTTTGGCGTGCAGAACAGAAATTGCATTCTCTTCATACCAGACAAGCAAGAAAGTAAAGAAACCCATGACCTCACCAGTTCCCTAGATGTTTTGCAATTCTACAGTACACCATATCCACTTAGCTGATAGGAATTTTATTGTAATTTTTACTGGAAATCTGCAATCACATGTAGAGTAATCACAACAAAAAATCCATTTTAAAGTATTTACTATTTTTAACACAGAAATCCATCCTTTTCTCTTCCAAAAGCACAGTGACATTCCTAAAAATGCAGGCTACATAAGCGCCAGTATTCAGATTCTCTGTTTTTCTAGTAGGCCCTTCCCTCCTCTCCCTGCCAGTTTACATCCCAACAAAAATCTCTCTTAATATGGAGATAGCACAATGGCCGTGAAAAATGAAGAAATGCTATTCTAAATGATAATATAACAGTAAACACATTGTATTTTGTCTGAAAGCTTAATTAACATTAATTATTGTACTTCAATCTAAAATTAAATCCTTTCCCCCATTTAAATTATTAATTGCACATATTTATAGCATATACATCACCATGGTGTATGGATTCAGCTTGAACTCAATGGCACTACTCATTTGCTTAAAGTTAAGCTCATTCGTAAATACTGGTTTGGGACCATAATGCATCTGCCTTTTCTTTTCTATGCAGACCATGCTATTTTCATTCATGCCTTTGTCACCTTCAGACAAGACAACTGTATTGTGTTGTATTTGGTGCTACACCTTAAATGCACTTGGAAGTTGAAGGCAGGACAACCCTGTAAAATAGAGTGCCTCACTTTGAGCTTATTCAGACAGTTCTTTATGATCTGTGGAGTTTAAGATGTTGATCTAGAAAACCTTACATATGCTTAGGACCTTTCTACCTGAGAGTCTGATTCCCTCTTCCTGACTTCTACCACTGCTGAGATCTGTGAAGACCACGAAGCTGGATCCACCTTTATATAAAAGAGGGAAGCTGCTGGCAGGGTGTTTTCTCTGAGGGCTCCTATTTTAGTAATATGCTTTGGTCCAAAATAGCCTGAATTTAAGGATCTCCAGAGCACAGCGCAAGGTTCATGTTTTTTAAGCAGGCTGCTGAAGAAGCAAATTTTGTCCAGGGGAGTATACAGGGAAAGCGATGACATTGTTTTATTTCTGTGTTGTATGGTTATTCAGTATTATTATGCATTATGACAGTTGCTGTAGGTTTTGTTTACACTGATCTATTGTAATTTTATATTATTGTTAAAGGCACCTGAGTAATTGGTCATTTTAGAAATGTAAATAAACGAAGTGCTATTTGAAGGGAAATAACAACAACAAACATTTTATTTTTCTACTTGTAATAGCCTCCCTATAGCAAGGACAAGAGTAACAAATGGTTAAGGTTTGGATTATATAATTTATCTGAGAAACTACATACATTTTTTTAAAATTGCTTCTAGTGTGGTGAATGAGTCTGGAATAGGGATTTTATAATCCTATAATAAAACCTGCACGTTCGCTCATGATTTTAGGATTATTTCATTTTTTGATCAAATGACTGCACTAGCGTATTCATTTCTTAAGACATTTGTTTCATCTAAGCACAAGGACCTTTACACTACTGCAGAAGAGGGAAAGCAGTTACATCTTTACAAAAGCCATTGGACAAAATTAACCAAACATTTGGCTTTGGACTGGGACTCTTCCATTAGTGTGTAGTCTACCACTGCAAAAACAATCCAACATTATTGTCTGAAGAAACAGACAAGTGCACTAATGGCCTATAGTTGCAGCCTTGACTAACACATTGCATCCATCACTGGCTATCACAAGACATATCAATAACTGAACACTTTGATAAGACTCTTTTGGCAACACAATTAGTTTATTCTACCATATGTATAATATCACAAAAAAATACAAAGGATTGAATTTGATTTTTATTTTGAATATTGCAGCTAAACTTCTATGGGGAGGGAGATGATCACCCCCACAGAGTAGGAGGTTGGGAGATCTTTCACTTAAGTAAAACTGCATTCAACAAACAAACTTTTGAAGGAATGAACTAACTTCTGCTGAGAGATTTTGCAAATGTCTCCAGATCTAATTTCTGGAATACAACAGAGATTTAATTTAGTTTGTGGCTGTTACTTCATTAAACAAGCCAAAGCTTTTTTTTTTTAAACCAAAATATTTAAATTGTTTGAAAGAAGAATGTTATATGACGTGCAACGTAATCAGGATTTCCACTAACCCCCAAGTGGCATCCCTAATTTGAAAGAAAATGTACAGAAAAGGAAATTGGTGAGTATTAAAACCTTGTGGATTGCCTTTAAAACAATTGTAGTTCAATGCATACAGAGTAGCATAAATTACAAAGCAAAACTGAATACAACCATGAGACTATTAACACAAGAGATTATTGTCTCTGAATGAAGGTGAAAGCTATTGGGAGTCAATATTGTACATCTTTTGCTGCAATATGAACTCCCATCACCCAACCAAACACAGATTCTGTACTTTAAAGCAGAAATGCCTGCCACACATGACACTACAGTGAAGTACTTTTAGAAACATGACATAAACAGCATTCACAACTGTGAAGACCGAATAGCTGAAATACATGTAGCAGCTTCTTTGTTAAAACAATGTACTTAGCATTGTGAAGTAATTCAGATGGTCATTTCCCCCCTTGTTCTCCCCTTGTATGCACTGACATCATAATGGAGCTTTCATGGTCTATTCACCATGGAATAACAGATGCAGCCTACAGGAGAGCCGGAACAAAAACTGTTTGTATAAGTTATAGAGAGAGACTACAGTGGTCTCCTCCTTGACCAAAAGGACAGGCTTCTAACTCTGCTAAGAGCACATGAGTTTCATTTTCTTCAGAGGTTTACCAGTTTGGAAAAAAATACATCATTACATCTTAGGAAGGGCAGTTTTTTATTATCCTTATTTTTTTCAAATGTTCACGGCCTTTAAATGCAACAAAATTAGCTAAGGCAATCTTACGAGTTCATGTAATTTTTAATTATAACTCCAGCACTTACTAAATAAAAATAACTGATATTGTTTTGCTTTTAAAACATATATGTTAACCAAGAGTTACACTTTTGTTCCTGTAGCTTTAGCTATACAGTGATAGTTAGGTAACCAAGTGATGGAAAGAGAATATAAAAACAGGCCTATTTGTATTTTCTTCCAAATGCTCCATGACATATGCTTGAAATAAAATTGCAGTTTTGAGAATGAAAATATAACATTTTTTCAGTTTGACTTATTTGTACTGTGTTGATTCTTTGAAAAATACTTAGCACATGAAGAGGAAAAAGTACCAAAATCAGCAATTTATATCAAACTACTCTGTTTATCATAATGTTCTATCGACATGAATCAGAATAACCCATGACCATGTCCTGCTTAGAATTTTCATAAAATTTTAATGTAACATGATTATTCTTTTAAGAATTCACATTCTGTTCAAATTATTCTTGCATAATATCCTCATGTTATTGCAGAGATACAACAGATACATGCCCAGGCTGAAGCATGTTATACATTTTAAAGCATCACATGAAAGAGATAAAGGCTTATGAAAATACAAAGAGTTAGATCAACTCATCTCCCAACAAGGTAATACCATCTACAAAGGAAGGGAGAACAGCGTTGCTGTGAAGCCCAGCGTATGCAGCCTGCTCATCGGCAGCTTGCACAAATGGTGCTCCAGATGTATATCTGTTCAAGTCAGCCCAAGGCAACAATTTTGATCAATTCTAATGTGATAAAATGCTGCAGGGAAAGTGTGCAGAAACGTGTTTACGTCAGCCTTTAATTAAACTGTTGTTCACTTCCAAAGAACCTTAGGAAACACTAATGAGACATGAGTTTCAGCAATTTCCTCATCAATGCAAAGACCCCCTCTCTCAATCTGAAGCAGCCTGTCATCCAACTAGCTCCCTGGATAAATGTCACATGGCACACCAATCGGTGAGCCACCTGTTAATAGAACTTTGCTGGAGTCAACTGGTGATCCGAGGCAAGTTCAAACATCCATCTGTCTGCTTTAGACACTTGCTCAGTTTTCAGATACAGCTCAGCAAGATGTTAACTTTTCTATAATGCTGGTGGTGCAGCAGTGTGAAGAGATGATTAAGTAGAAATAGGGAATAAATAACATTAAATCTATTTAATCCAATTTATTCTCTAACACTTCTTATTTATATCTTTATATCATAGCTTAATTTAGCTAATCTTTCTTTGCAAGGTACACTCCAGTGGACAGCAATCTGTTAGAAACGTTTAGAACTCAGTTTTAGCATTGCCTTGAGAAATCCAGATAAGAACATCTTCACATTATTGTTTGTGTACTTTACAGTGAAAGATATGAAATCAATAGCATTATTTTAAAAAATAGAAAACTTCATGCAGCTAGCAGGAGCCAGGGACTTTTGAAAATCTCAGGAGCGTTTAAATACAGAGGACGGGGGTGCACAGGAGCCAATTGGCTAGCTCAGTCTCCGACTCCCAGCCATGGAAAGACAGCAAACCTGGAGTGTGGGCAGCCCCACTCCCCAATCTTGCCACATGAGCACCTTCACATTTCCCCAACCACATCACCATCACCACCACCACACATACACACACCACCTTATTTTCCAGGCA